ATCAGCGTTAAAAAAAATTAGGCTACAATCACTACTATCCGAACCATTAAACGGTAGAAGTTGAAGACTAAATTTTTGGTCTTAGGCACCTAGGATTAACTTACAGGAAATTTTAGTACAAGTTTAGCATTTACAAACAAGTAATCTTAAAAAAAATAAAACTCTCAAAGATAAAGATTCATACCGTTTAGCAAAAAAGCGAAGAACCAAAACTTTGATGTGTTTTGCCCCGAAGATCGGGTAAATTTCTTCTGAGAAACATTTTCAAAGTCATTCATAAAGAGCATATAACTCTTCATTGTGGACTTTTAGCTAACTGCATGCAACCGGTTAGCTCAAAAAAATTCATCATGAAGTGAAGATATCAGATTAAGTGTGAGAATGTTAGATGTGAATGGTAAAGTCAGGTCAATAAAGGGAGCTGGAAAATTTAAAATTAATCAAAATCTTGTGGTTTAAACTTGTAACACTAACTGACCTGGAAATCCTGGCAGACCGTCAGTGCCTGGAACCCCTGACGGACCAGGGCGTCCCCTTTGACCGGCAACACCAGTTGGACCGCGTGGGCCAGCCATTCCTTCTGGTCCAGATGTTCCTATGGGCCCTGCTGGCCCCGGCAAACCAGGTAGGCCAGGTTCTCCAAGTTCACCTTTACGTCCACGTGGACCCTGATTTCCAGGTTTTCCTCTTGGACCCTGAGGACCTGGTTGACCCACAGGACCACGTACTCCTGGCAAACCTGGGTCCCCTTGATCCCCAATATCTCCATTGGGTCCACGTGGACCCTCTTCACCTGGAAGACCTTGATCACCTTTTGGGCCGGGTGGACCTAATTCGCCTTTATCTCCTTTGAGGCCTATAAGTCCAGAATCACCAGGGCGCCCGTCTTCACCCTGGAAAATTCAAAAATTCCACATTTCATAGAGCCAAAAGAATGAATATAACCACTTTGACATTGTTTCATAACTCTTTGTGGGTCGTTTCCCTTCATTATATGATTGGACACATAAGGATATAAAGTAACTACTAATAATCTTTTTCTATCGAGTAGTACTATCATAATTAAGGTTCCCAACCAACTACTTAAGTATTACGTTCTTTTCTAACCCACTTTTAATTGCAGTTCAGATAAATCTATCTGCACTGAAAGCCGTTTGGTGCCATATATTAATACGATTCTAAGTGGAAATTATCAATATTATTTCACATGAATATACTGGGATGCCTTAATTGAAAAATTCTTCAATGTGTTCTTTCGCAAATCATTTTTATATTATCAATGTGTAAGACATACATAGAACTAACTGCTTTATTCTCAGCAAAATTTAGCACAGCTAATTAAAATATTGTACAAGAAATAATTCTTTTCACGCTTCAGCAATTTCAACTCGTATAAGTTTGGGGAAAAAAACCAAATTAATCCTCAAAACCACTTGATTAGAAGTTCGTAATTCTAATTCCACTTAAAGCTTGAAGAGAATTTTCGATAACGCATTCCATGTTACTTAAATCCTATTTCGCCTCCTTCGCTAAAGTACTTTATTTACACTTCTGATCAGCTATAACAGAAGAGTAGATAGTGTGTAAGTAAAATTAACAAAACACTGTTTTACTTAATTCCATGTAGTAAAATGATCAGTAGAATGTTGAGAGGGATCTTGATGCGAATAATTTTCATGTTTATTTATGTTTAGAAGATCTTAATCACAATAACGTATATAATGCCACTTAGAGTGATCGTGTAGCTTACAGGAATATATTCCTTTGTAAGTCAATACATGAGCTATTGATATGAATACCACAAGTCAAGCTGCTGAACTACAAGAAAAGTGTCAGATATTTCCAGACAGGTCCTTCTTTTAAATCAAAATAGTCTGTGTAATCAGTGTTATGATACCTGAATAGATTATATGAAATCAATTTTATTGAATATGGGAAATAATGCAGCAGATTTAATGAAATAATTTCAAGTTCATATCGATATGACTGTAGTTAGTAATGAATAATGTGATTAATGTATACTGTTATGAACTTGAGATGTCGAACACAAAATAAAATGTAATTAGTTGTATTTTGAGCCAGCATTTTTGTAGACTTGTTAAATTGAGAAGTTATTGCTTAATTCAGAATAAATTAAATTGTTAATTTAATCTGATAGTATTATTAATTATTAAAGCAAAAATATCATTTTATTAGTTCATCTAAGTTAAATACGTACAGAACACACATCAATATATTTTCATGATTGCAATAGTTCTCTAATAAATAATACATTTAGATTACTTGGAAACAATAAACAGAATGAAAGTATCAATGAAAAACTTCAGTTGAATAACTCACTTTCATTCCTGATGGACCAGGTTCTCCACGACTACCATCTAATCCTGGTGGTCCCTGCAATAGAAGTCATTATGCCATTCATATATTGTTGTAGTAATACAAGGAGAATTTCAAGCTTAACAAAAGTATTTAGTATTCCAAAGTTATATTATAATATTTTACAAGTAAAACACAATTATTTCTTCGTAAATAACTTCATAAATTTTATAATTGTTGTGTATGTTGGTTTTCACTATTGAATAGCATTACGAGACATATTTTATGTAAATTACAGTGCTGTCAGTGGAAGTTTTATTTCTTCTTACCACTACAAGCTAATGTAATTCATATTTGGATTAATGATGACTAATATGGGACAGATGAACAAGGAAGTTCACAACTTCCAAGATAAGGGAGAGGTTAAGTTAGCTATGGTGTTTGGAGTTACCACATGTACTAAGATTATATAATTCATAAAAATCAATTTTTAAAGTTATCTGGAACTATGATACTTAGGAAACGTGAAATAAATCTTATTCTTCTTTTTTAATAACTTTATTTATTCTAATAACTATAAACTTATGATTTCTTTGTTCTCAGCATTTTTTTAACCATCAATTTGTGCTTACACGTTATAATCTAAGAGCTACGTGATTTATATGTGAAACTCAATAACTTTCTGGAAAATACAGTCAGTATGTGCGGAATGTAGAAGTGAACTTGAACATTATCCCATAACTGAACTATCTAGTTCAGAAAATACGACAGTATCATTAGAGTCTACAAGGAATGAAAATCATCATTTCACAATTTAGATATGTTTATACAGAATTATTTGTCACAAGCATCTTCTTAAAATCAGGCTATTGGTTGAAATGTTCTTTACTTAACTGCTGTTTTGTCTAAAGTGATTTTTAAGCCGGAAATTACATAACCTTCTAAGTCCTGCCTTTACGTACCAGATAAACCATTTCTTAAACTTTTGAAGCGAACAGAACATGTCATTTTACGAATATTCCAAGTTAATATGAATATAGATAATTTTTTTAATGAGATAACATTCAAGGTATTTCCATTACATTATTTTTTGTGATTTGAACTCGATCAGCATTTTAACAGATTGCAAAGCTTTTAACAATACTTTCTGTTTTCATAAGAATGAACATCACTGACTGAATCACTGCCTCAAAAACCCAAGACTTGAAACAGATATCCTATAGCTAAGTAATTGCTTCAGACCGTATTTTTTCAGTCGCAAAATCCTACTAGATTATTAATTTACGTAGCATAACACTGTTGTGGATTCCGCTTGATAGTGAAGATGTTCAGACAACAAGTTAGAAAACTGTTGTATTCATAAAAGTTACTAAGAGATATATCCATTTTTACTGTAGAATAACCGTAAGTTCTTTCGAAATCTCATTTATAGTTGTGCTAATGAGTCCATTAGAAGCGTTAAGCACTGATTCACTGATCCCATATATCACGCTTCTTTCGAAATATCTTCTTTCTTTCCTTTAAGAAGAATGCTGAAGAGTCTGTAAGGCAGTTGCCGAAAAGCTAAGTCAGATTTCTTGGTGTTGGACTTTTTCAATGTGAAACTATTCAAACTGCTTTTCAAATGAGTTAAACTGAAAGATAATCAAACATACTTTCTGCTTTATATCAAGTTATGAAAGATATGATTGTTGGTGTTTCGATGAACTAGTTAGATGTACAGACCATTCTCCTACATGCTTCTGTATCTAAAATACACTTATCAATCTATGTTCACTAAATAATAGTGTTCGTAAAATAACTCACGCTTGGACCTTGACGTCCAGGTGGGCCCATCGGTCCACGAGGTCCTTGATATCCCGTATCGCCTGGATGTCCAACTTCTCCTTTAACACCAGGTTCACCAGGGCCTCCTTCTGGACCAGTAACACCAGTTATCCCTCTAGCTCCACGTACACCTTTTAAGGAAAGCTGCAAGAAAATAAAGTAAATGGATTAGATCATTCATAACTATAGTTTATTTATTTGTCAGAAACTTACCAAATGTTTTTGAAGCAAGTCCCGAAATGTAGCTGCTCGAGCAAAACTACTACTGCCAACTCCGAGATTCAAAGGAATGACGAATAGAGAGCCCATTGGACCAGGTGGGCCAGGTTCACCAGCAGCTACGGATGAGCCATTTAAACCCTTTTAAAAAAGTATTATAAAAATGAAGAATTAATACTAAGCCATTATAATATATATATATATATATATATATATATCATCTGAAGCTCTGAAACAGGGTTTCATCTGTCATCCAAAAATAGTGGATACCGTGGCGTGTTGTTGGTACTTAACTTAAAACGAGATCAAAAGAACCATTAAGCAGTAGATGGTTTTCAGTGGGTTTTCTCCTCATATCGGACACTGATTGAAACTACCTTGGAAAAGGAGCCTTGCCTGACCGTAAATTTTCTTTAGAGGAGAATATAAAACTAAATGAAAGTTGATTTCTATGAGTATGAAAATACATAAGGTAGTTTTCTATTGATTCTTTTCATAGAATATTGTTTAATTCTTTGAAACTGTCTAGTGTACTGCTAAGTTTCCGCATTACTCTTATAAAAAGCATCGAAGGAACACATGACGCCGAGAAATAGAGAAAGATATGAGAGGAATGAACAAACATTGGACAGAACTGGAGAGGGAAGCCCATGACAGATTTGGCTGGAGAAAACTGGTGAGCGGCCTATGCTCCATTGGGGGTAACAGATGTAAGTAACTAAGTAAGTAAGTAAGTAAGTAACTTATAAAAAGCATAGTAATCTGATTTTCTGGGCAGCAGTAATAGATATAGTGATATTTTTTTTGTCACATGACTACTTCATATCAGATGTATTTTAAATAGAGTAGGTCTTTGCTGAATGATTAATTAATTTCGGAATTTGTTTAAAAAAAACAGTAAAATCTTGATATTGATTCAGCCTTATTAATAGATGAAATTTGTTCTCTTTTGATTGCATGCGAAGAAAAGTCTGTTAAGCATACATTGATACGATAGAAGGCATGTTTTACTAAGATAGATTCAGTTATTTCGCAGGTGTGTCTAGTTTGATGATATAAATATTCATTTAAAATTTTCGTCTACTTTCCATGAGAGAAATATCATTTTTTTCATTTGCATCAAGTGATTGCTGCGTAAGTTATGAATTGTTTTTAAAAAATTACTATCGATTACTACTTACTGGTTCACCCTTATCACCTGGTGGACCAATATCCCCCATAGAACCGACTGGACCCTAAAGTTTACAAATGGAAAAAAACAAATTATCAGTGAATCTAAATAGGAAAAAGAAAACAAAATCAAATCAATATCATGGATGGAAGTAGAAGTCTTCGACAAGTTCACTATTTTCATTGATAATGAATAACTTTCATTGTAATCATTTAGAACTTTAATTTTATTACAAAATTCGAAAGTGATCTATTATCAAGTAGACAAAAATAAAGTTTGGAGTTTTGAGTCAAATGTATTGTTAAGCTGTCACAGATTTTTACATCAGAATAATGTTATTTAAAATATTGACATTTCGAGGAAATAATACTTATTTTGATTATTTCTATTATTATTACTGAATGTAACTAAAATATGCTCAAAGAAATGTTTGGATAGAACTCGGTCAAACAATCGTATTTGCTTTTTCCAAAAAAATTTATAAAAATTAAATGTTACATGGCTAAAACCATTGTGATAAAATCATATTTCATGATATTTTCATTGTTTCTATTAGAAAATCAAATACAATGGTATCTTTCAAGTTGATAGCTATGAAACTTCAAAAAAATAATGATCGAAATAGGATGTTTTACTTGGGTTTTATAATTTCTACACAGTCTTCTTCAGTTACCCAATATGGATATCTAAACAGAATGTCATAAATCATGTCTGTCATATGGACGATAAAATTCATACCAAAGTTGTTAAATATACTAATTTGAATGCATTAAAATAGTTTGATTACAGGTTGTTTGGTAATGTATATACTTTATGATAACTATGTACAAATGTGTGGTGTAAAAAATAAGATTTCTTTCCTCAATACATTCCTGTCTATACATTAGTAGTTTCCGAAATCCCCGAAATCTCGTAATCTCATTATTTATTTCTGGTGTCTTTCTAAGTAATATATATATATATATATATATATATATATATATTCTTGTAGATATGTCCTAACATCTCAGCTGAAATCAAATCTTATAGTGGTGATTCATCTTCATAGACGAATTATTATAACAAATAGGAATGACCAGTTTTTGACAAAACTTACAAAACTCGTTGAGTATTTTAACCGTATACGATCGTTAATTTATTTAAAGGAAATGGTTAAACATTTTACAACCTACAGCTAACATAACGCTTAGGTGTCAAATTCATTATAGTACGTAGAACCAGAAGCCAAAACCAAATGAAGTAAGCCTAGGTATAAATTAACTTGGAAGCTATCGATATATAAATAACCCGAATACATACTACTACTTACACTGGTAAACAGAAAACGTAATGCTAGATAATAGTAGTTAATATCCATTAAATATGGTGTTGATTAGTTTCGCTTATTTTTTTAAAAAACTAATAAAGTAAATGGTCACTTCCAATTCAAACTACGTTTGTTTATTTTCATGAACTCTTTCTATTCTTAGCCTAGATAAATTCCCAAAGAAGTTGGGGTTCTGTGGTTATTAATTATTATAATAGAACATTTTCAAATTGAAACAAATGAGCTTACCTGCATTGGGTCGCTATCCTTATCACCCTAAAATGTTTTGAAAAAATATACAAGATAAAATTGACAGTAGTTAAAATTCTTGTTGATAAATACATATGTTTAATAAACTGATAAACATCTAATCATTAAGATGTTGGTTGAATGAAACAGGCAAAACTAACTATTTAGATAATATCTAATTCATTTATAGTAAAATCAATATTTGATTTCAGTTACCATGATATTAAGTCAATTCATCTACAAATCACAACACCCTAATTAATAAAACTAGATCAGAACTATGGATTAAAAAATTGTGTGGATTTACTTTTATCAAACAAAATCCTTTTGAAAATTCATTGATATTCTAAATAGCATAGAGTCAGCATTCTGAAGTGTATTATTATGATAGATAGATATAAGTAATATCAGCTCTTTAGTAGTTGTGAGCATTCATACGTTAATGTCTACGGAGACAACTGCTCGCTTTGAACAACGTTTGTATTTCACAAAAACATCAAAACCAGTATTTTTGTAGTGATTCGAGTGGCAATTCTAAATAGAGCTGGTTAGTCGCTATCAGGAAATGCGTTTTATGCTATTTAGGACTTGTCAGATGAATATATCTCCATGCCGATGTTGATATTCCCTGCAGAACTTGAACTCAGTACCCTTAGCTTCACATCCCCAATGCGTTTCACTTAGCTACTGAGTGGAAAGATTGGCTTGTACAGTATAGTAAATGCAAATTTGCTTGAAATCCTTGCGACTTACTGGCAATATCGAGAGAATCTAATGAAGATTTATGTACCCTAAGAGAAACTAATCAATTACAGCCCATAACATCAACAACAGGAAGATCCAAACAGCCTTTGTAAATGAGTTAACAAGTAAGTTATTGATTTATTCACTTAGATGTAAATTCATTAATCTAGCGTTCGTTGACATAAGAAAATGAATCCTATAGTAGTTACTTGTGAGGATGGACGTAGAAAGCTATTGCTAGACAGTTGTGCTATATATTTATTTTCTGATAAGTAATTATAGAAACAGGTCATAATGTCTCATTTTACCCGCAAATATGACAAATATGATATGTTTGTAAAAGTAGTAAATGAGTTCATATTTGAATATTGACGGAATTTTATCCTCCAAGTTGTAATACGATAACAAATCTAAGTGATTAAAGATTGTATCCGAGTGGTTAAAAAGAAAAATGATTAGGCTCAATCAGCATAAAGCTATGAATTTAGAATTTATACTAGTTATAAATTGTCTGAAAAATAGATGCAAAACTTTTTATATCAAAATGAATTTATAATGTCTCAATTGTTTAATTTTTTCATTCGAAGTTTTATATTCATTTGCTTTTTAATGAAGCAGTGGTCAGAGAGGTTAGGATTAGAAGATATAATTCAAGAAGTAGAATATAGTGAAATAGTTTTAAAAAGATAAAGATAAAGTGATGAGGAATAAAAAAGTTTAGGATTTGAGATAACACAAAGAATAAATGCACCGGCGCCATTGCAAACGGTTTTGAGCCATGTCATTCAGGGTCTATAACCATCGATTACTAACATCTTGCGGACCCCAACCAGGTAGTCGACATCTACCAACATTACTCAGTCCACTTGTCAATGACTTCATGGATTGCTGCCATGTTTTGGTCTGGCCGCCCCTAACTTTCTTCCACCATATTCCTACACTACAAAACAAAGCTCGTCAAGGCAGTCGGTGGTTAGGCATACGCAGCACATGTCCCAACCACCTCAACTGATGAAGTTTCAATACTTCATCTATTGGTTTGCCATCTTTACCTAGCACACGAGACCAAATCAGCTAATTGTGGAAATCGGAATTCACAATTCAAATTTCAATTCTATTTAAGTCGCATTATTCGACTTTATTCAGATCCGTGATTATATTCACACTGAAAAAGTCAAATCAAGTTTATCATGCTAGTTAAACAAAATTTATCCATTAAAATTATTACTTAAGATCATTAAAATTTCTTCAACAATTGTTGTATCAATTCGAATTTTAGATATTTTTTATTAAATATCTAAATTAGACAATTGATTTTTCATGTTGTTTCTTATATAATGCTATCAAAATTTGAAAATTTCATTATTTTTTTTAGTTGATCACAATCAAGGAAGAGAATGCAAGAAAGACATTTGGAATTTCAATTAATAAGGATGTACGGATGCATGTATGTTTGTAAAGAAATAAGTGGCGTTCATAAATAAGTTACTTAAAGGACAATCAATGACAGTCTAATGTTTAGTTTATCATGTGAAAGCCTTTTTTGCAGTTAGAAGGTAAATGGTCTATAGTTAATCAAGGTAGATAGGTCTACAAGCTGACAATTGGACAATTGAAAAATGATAGATTTTCTCGAGATTTCTGAAAAGCGGAAACCATAGTATACACTCAAATAATCAGCCACCTTGGGTACTGGAATAATTTAAACATGTATTTATACCAATATTTGATTTACAATATTGTTGATATTAATCGGTCAAAATATAGTATTAGGCAACCACTGCTTTTCTTTCATTGGTCAGTGAATCTTTTAGTTAAATCAAATTGGAATGATTTTCAACATCATATGAAAATTGGTTACATTAAACTGACTAAACGCAATTTCCTAATGTATTGAAATTCGATTTGATTAGAAGATTGAGTAAGCACAAAAGACATTTTCTGAAATGATCACAATTTACTAAAGGGGCTGCCATTTTTGTTGTAACCGGCAATGTCAAGTGAACAACTTTTTGACACTTTATTTTTAAATCCGATGACAAGATAACACGACGACTGAATCTCATTCAATCACTTACACCGTACCTACAACTACGCATGAACAGATAGAATGATCCAAACAGAAGAAATCATTCTTTTCATTTCGTAACAAATTTACAGAGTTTTCGTCTCATTTATTTCATGTCGTCACATGAACAAATGGAGAAGTAACACTGTGATCAGTTGTTAGACTTAAGATTATTTACATCAGATCCATTACAACTGACAACAATAATTTATTGAACGATTTCTGTCAATATGTAGATTTAATTGATAAATCCGATTTTCTATTTAAATCGAGAAACGTTCAATATGAAGCTGAATGATGACAACATGCATAGTTTATCACAGATGAGCCAAACTATTAATTATAAGTAAGATCAATTGATAGATAAATAGTGATAAATTTTAATGTCATAAACTGAACTCCCTATAGAAGTTTTTTAGTATACAGAAGCTAGTTAAGTGTAAATGCTGACTTTGAGAATAAGTGATGTCGGTGACATCTTTAGCTGTTTTACCTCCTGAAAAACAAATTTTCAAGAGTCAGTCAACCAAAAGTTAGATACAGGAAGTTTTGTTTATCATATTTACAGTTAGAACTTTGGAGATTTGTGTTTTTACACATTTGAAATCATCAATCAATCATTGTTAGACCACCATTAGAAACCTGGAAGCACTGGACGGCCGTTTCGTCCTGGTATGGGGCTCATCAGCAGTGCACATCCACGACTCCTGCACCTCGCAGGATTCGAACCCGGGACCTTTGGTATTGTGCGCGAACGCCTAACCCTAGGACCACTGGGGCCAGCATCCAACGGTGTTAATGTCTAACTCTGATTGATCTACGGATTTTGCGCGACCTCACCCATTTGTCTTTGGTAGTTACTGCCTACACCCGACAGGGCTGAACTCTATTGGTCACGTCTTCTCACTATAACTCCGAGAATTTCCTCACGAAGCTAGTCACTAGTGAGCACTGTTACGATATTTTCAATTAGAGGCTTGGAGATTTGTGTTTTTACACATTTGAAATCATCGTATTTAGTCTCAATCCAAAGCGAGGTATTGGAAAATACAAGACCATACTGTTAATAATATCACAGCCATATTTAGATAGTGAAAACTTCATTTCATAAGTTCAAACTATCATAGTCGGATGAGAAACTTTTATTGTAAAGAACTAATATGGAGTGATCAGAGCCAACTTCATTAATTTGATTGTATCTAGCTATTTTTAAAGTTCCAACGTTGTTCTACAGCGGTATGATGACATTAGAGCACAAGTAACTCCTATTAAACATTTATGATTTATTCACTTCTCAAGCTTGTGAATCAGTTTCAAAAGGCCAAAAAGTCTGAATTAACCAAAGTTTTCTAACTTACTACTTTTCATTACTTAACCTTGAAGTGGTTGTAAAACTATTTCCTCTAACTGTTGTATGTGTTTTTTTTGTTTGACATTAGAAAACAGTATGAACCAAATTTCAGAAATGATGTCATTCACAATTGATTTTACTTTATTATAGATATTAATGTGCTACATAGTTAACATACTAAGTGAAATAATTATACATATAAGTTTTCAGTATTTCTAAACAACTATTGTTAACTAACAAAATTCAGTTATACCTAAAGAATGAAGTATAAAAATTTTATGAATATTTCAATAAATATCCTACTTTCTTAATAGTGAGTAACTTTTAAAAAAAACCCAGGAAGTACAATTTCCAATTGAAAGACAGTCTATATTTACTATATTCTTGGCACAATAATCTAGTTTGGATGGAGATTCGGGGAAAATACGTTCATGTTGATCAAAAATATCCTTATTCTAAGCTTGATCAAATACTTCAGTCAAAAAAAATCAATGATTCATAAACTATCTATCATTCAACCTATTTACTTATCATTTTGATGAATAACTTCAAGGCTTTTATTAATATCTATTGTAATATTGAATTTTTTGATGGAAGCATTTATTTATTTCAAATATTATTCAATATAAAATAATTCAAATCTATAAAATATATGTAAAGAAACAAAGTAACAAAAGTAACCGAAATCAAATTGTTATTTTTAGATTATGGCAAATGAAGAATAATTTTTAGATTAAGGAATACCATACCTTTTTTTATTAATTTTCCTATCATCTTTAATCCTATAAAATATCCATATTTATGTGTACAAGTGCTCTGTTATGCACACATGATAAAAATTAACATCAATGAGGGATACATCGATTGGCAAATGTGTATAATCAGTTTGTTTACGATACAAAAAAATCAAGAGAAATAAACACTTAATACTTTTATTTTCTTAGACGGTTAAGACAATACATTCATGAAAACTACAAACATAGAAAGAAAGAAATACATCACAAGAAAAAACAACTTACTTCATCGCCCATCATTTGGTCATCGAAACAATTAGGTGAATAAACATCACATTGTTTCACAGCGCTTTCCTCACCAGCTAGAAGATAAAAATCTTCAATAAAACCCTGAAAGAAGTAAATTTGTAGGGATTGTATTAGTGTAACTGTAATTCATAGTTACTAAGACGATAAAATTTATATAAATATTCTTTAATATAGTCATTTTGTAATTATATCTAAGTATGATCTTAAGGTATAATAAATTCAAGTACCGATAACTGCTTTCATTATGAAACTGAACGTACTCAGTTTCTTCTGAATTATAATCTGTCATATGAGAAACTCATCTTGATACTATTAGCTGGTCTTGATTACTTTCAAATGCGTTTTTCATAGTTGATATCGGAAAATGATTTTGGTTAAATCACTATTTAAAATCTGAAAGCACTAGACGGCCGTTTTGTCTTAATGTGAGACTCATTAAAATTGCGAAACCACGACCAAGACCTTCGGCCTCGCAAACAGACGTCAACAGATAGTCATTTTGACTCCATTCAAGCAATCACAATAAACTCCTTCTTTAGTGATATATTTAGCTGGCTGTATATTCTTATGACCCTTAGTTTTGATATAAATCTCATGAGTTTGGTTTTTTCTTCAGATTTGAAGGAAGCAATTATAAAAATGTTCTCGGTAATGGGTAGGCTAATTTCATAGGAAAAAGAATTAGAGTTGTAGATTATATTCCTTGGCTTGGCTTACCCATTGACTGACAGAGGCTCACGCCTCGTGGTTTGTGTTTTCGTATGTAATTCTGTCAAAAACTATGCTTAAATATGATGTTCACTTAATCGATCTGATAGAAAAAACCTCTATTTGTATCGAAATATTATCGGTGAAGTTTTAAATAGATTAAATAATCAGTTATTCTACAAATTAACCATTTACGAAACGTCACAGTCATTAATATTTGAATACTCATAGACAGCATTTGATACCACGTAAAAGATGGTGCTTTATTTTTGTATCGAGCACGCTACTGTTAAACAATTTCACACAGTTTGTTAAAGTTATTTTCATTTAAAATATATGAGGAAAACTCACATGAATGCCGTCTTTTAATACTTGTATTCGACCTCTGTTATCAATGCTTGTTGACGAACGATTGTAATTTATAAACTCTCGTTGTTTACAATCGATTAGTAATCTTACAGTAGTAGTACCAATACTAATTGCTACACGATGCCATCTGAAAAGTTTAAGAAAATATAATATTTTGGCCTGGATACACAGAGAATCAAAGATTAGTAGACATACATTGAGAATCACTTAAACTGCATACTCTTGAACAAGTCATTTCGTTTATTCTGAACAACCTTTCTAAATACACAAATCATCATTACAGAATGATCGGATATTATCGGACTTGAATTATGTTTCTCAAATGTTACAAGAACTGAGCTTTTCGACTAATAGATATGACTGATAATAGGTTAACATATCACATTTCAACCGTATGTTTATGGGAAGACATTTTGTGCGTTATAGGATTTTAACAAATATATATGCTCATTTAAGGAAAAACATACAATTTTTGATTAACAGTCATTTGGGTAGATGTGATTTATTGGAAATTTTAACATGTTTGCTTTATGGCAAAACAGTGCAAGGATGATGGAATGTTCTTCGTACTTAAAATAATAAATTTTATTTTTAATGTTTGTGTCTGATTTTATTTTCAGCATTTGCATTAAGTGAAAAACCATGAAATTACTAGACAATTACAAAGTTGTTCATTATGTTCAGTTTTATTAATTGTGAGTATCTACTATTCTGCACTTAATAAATCCTTTCAACTTTAATATGACAGCAAACGCCAATGTTAAATGCTTCTGAAAATAAAACCAGAACGCATAATTAGAGTAGATATGAGTCGAGTCACACTTCTATAGCGTACAATAATAGGTCCGTAAAATCAAAAATCAATAGGTTTTACACCTATTTAAGTGTTTTTGAAGTAGTCCGAAAACTATTCGTAAGCTTTTTTACATCTCACTAACTAGCGGAAAATGTGCATTTAAAGTTGCACTGATAGTCCCAATTTGCACATTCTAATGGTGAAAACGTTTGGATTCATTTGGTAGTTATTAGGAAAAACAACTCGACACAAAGGGATACATAACATATAACTCTTCAAAAAGTAATGAAATGACAGCATTTTAACTTTGAAATAAAATTTCCGAAATAAAGATCTCACAAGCAACAATCATAACTTACAGATTATCATTTAGACGAGTTTTAAAAATAGCTTTCTCCAATGCTTTTCCTGATTGTGTTTTTAAATCTCGAGGGTGTAAATCAGAAAGCTGACTAGATTGTGATTCTTTTGATAAATATTCTAATTGTAGATGTGGGCCATGTATTATGCGTAAAATCATCCGTCCATGTCTGTCATAAACAGTGAACAACTCTCTTTCCAAGTTTGATTCAAGTCGAATAGTAAATAAAATAGACAGATCTGGAGGAAATGGATCTGTACATAAAAACAGTATTTTGTTAGTATCACCAATCACATTAACAGGCAAACAGTGATTCTTTTCATTTGATCATGAGCTTATCAAGTAAGCTAACTTTAGTGGAGCAATTGTACATCTAAATCATCAAATCGCCTTAAAGTTCTACATAAGTCGAAATTTTTTCACCTTAGAAGGTGATACATGTGAAAAATTTTTAAAAGTAATTTGCAGACTATAATTATATTGAATATGAACAGTCCAACAGTATATGATACGTTGCATATTAATTAAATATTGAAATCCAATTTGTTTTCAAATTGAATCTCCATTAATTTTCAGTAAATCAAAAAGGATCATAAAACACTTCAAATCCATTCACATTACTGATAACACGAGAAAGTTGGTAAAAATGAGTTCAGATAAATTAATCGTCAGTCGAATAATGAACTGGTTCACGTTTAAATCATCGTTTTAATTTGTAGTGGAACGCTTCTACGAAGCAAATACGATTTGTGAAAAATAAACATTATTGTACTCGTTTTGTTTAACTGTACCAAAAACACTTCTTCCACTTCTTGCGCGCAACGTTCTCTTCGCGTTGCTGCCATTTTTCTAAATGCCCTGCTCCCGATGTAATGCCTACTGTCTCCTTCAATAAAATCTTGGTACATGGATTTATTTTGATATACGTGACGCGACCGTATGGAAGATTTAGTGGTGATCATAGTCAATCTGGTATCTTGACTCGCTCACTAAAAATTAATAAAGAGTGGCTGTTGTCCATAAGTCATAATTTTAATAAATTCACTGCTATATTTCCTGTAATTATTTTAATGGCAGTATTAGACGTAATAGATGCCAATGAATAAAATATTCTATTGAAATTGGACATCTAATGAAAAACAAATATAAAAGTAGTCATGTTTATGTTTTGCGACCACTTTTCAAACAACAAATATTTAAAGGACAAATTCAGTCAACTAACAGCTTTTATCATTTATCTGGAGATAATCGATAAAAAGCCTTATATATGTATAAGCTTTCTAATGACTGACAATCGATAATACAGTGTATTCACAAAGTCCACAACATTTCGATTTTTTAAAAGGGATAAAAGTCAAAATATCAGAAGGGAATATCTTTTATTGATCAATAAACAATTAAAATACCGAACTTACCAAGGGTTAAAGATCGCCCTTCTATGTAAAGACTTAATCCACGCGGAACAGAATAAGCTACGTTTCTTTCGGGAACATTTGATGATGTCGTCAAATCATTTGAATCTTGCCGACATCGACCAGGTGAAGTTTGTACATAAGTTTGTTCACTAATTCTTACAGCCTTTAGTATATCTAATACACCTTTAAAAAAAGACATGTGAAAAACTAATATGATGATTGAGAAAAAACTAATATTAGTGGCTAAGTTACGGAAAACTGGAAAATGATAATTTCACTGTTTTGATTGTAAAAGTCCTGTAACACATACAAAGTGAGATAACGAAGCATCAAATGTAGGATTGCTCTATTGATTGATTTATTAATTATTAAATCATTAACATCATTTCACGATCCATTCGACCGTTATAGAAACGTTAGCTGACATAGAATTCTAGAATTGATCTTTGGAACTATTAAAAGTCATCCAATTTATTGATACTTGTTTTGTGCAAAAGTAGTTTGACTGTTTGTTTATATTATCATTCAATTTATAATCTTTATAATCCACCTAAAGAATCAATGTCAACATTAAGTGTCTGATAAATTTTCTCTTGTATTGTATTTTGTAAAAAAAAAAAATAACGAAGGCACAAAACCTACAAACACGAAGTGCATAGTTCTGAGGAATATAATATACTTGAATATTGAATTTAAAAGAGAATGTTGGGAATTTGCTTGAAACTACATTAAAGAAGTCAATTCAGGTGACATTTCATGTTACAAATTTTTTCGCTAAAACTTACTGCATCAACCCACTCGTCTCTACTGTTTAAAAGACAAATTCACTAATGGGGGATTAAATGCATACTTGTCATGTCATAAATTATTGGGGTGCCAGTTGTTAAGTCTTTTTTTGAAATAACTACTTCGTCTCATTTGTTAGAGTTTAACACTGTGGCGAAGAAAGTGAAAAGAGATATCGATCGTTCCCATTAGTTTGGAATAAGCAGTAGATTCAAAACATTTCTCATCGGATTCTTCATTCGATATAATTCAGAAGATTCTTTCAAACATTAGAAGTGATCTGATATGAAGCTCAAGTCACATTCAAATAACTAAACTTCTACAATTTAATTATTCACTGTAAAACGGTTCGCATTATCACTAGTCTATTAATAGAGTGAGTGATTTTTTTTTAGCTTCGATGATGTACTAGTTGAAATGAACTATTTGTTCAGTGACTTAAAGTATATATTCAAGAGATACAATTTTCATTAAAACCATTTTTCAGAACAATGTTAGATGACATTTATTTTATTTGCAGTTACTTGTAAAGACAGTTTTTTATATAAGTGTACGTGTAGAAAATATGACATTTAAATCGATTTCCATAAGCATGTGTGTTTTCTAGTTTATAGGCCAGCGAAAATTAGTTTGACTCGAATATTCTATGCATTAAATGTTAAATTCTTGTTTTATTTTCAATAAACAAACAAAACTTTAGGATATTGGACATCATTTCATTCTCCACGCAAATGTTTAATTGTTTTGTCTATCATAGTATATTATTTCTAGATAACAATCCTGACAGGGAAACAGTGACGGTAAATGTTAGGAAGAACATTTATTCATACCACTTGCTATTCTTTTTTGTGAATTATAAGCGTAATTACTCTTTGAGATCATCGGACTTCAGCGCCACTGATTGTATCGCACTTTCCTATAAAGAAATAGCAGACTCAGGTTAAAATATCTGAGAACTTTTGACTAAATTTGAGCGAATCGTTTCATAGTAGTTGGATGCCGAGTTAATGTAAGGCATTAGGGAGGAATACTATGTCCAAAAACCTCAGTGACTGATCTTTAGGTAAATCCAGTGTTGCTTTCGGAAATATGGACTAAGCTTTTTCAAGGAAATAACATTAGACATCATAATTAGCAAGAGTAAATGTATACTTTACCGGTTAACTGCATGTTCAACAACTTGTTCCATCACGTTAATGTTAAGAGTGAGATTTGTCGTAGTGTACAGGAGGTGAAAAAAAGTGTCTCAAGATAAGTTGTACGTGCTTGTGGGTCTGATGTGTCAAAAATTTATTGACTGTATATCATCTCTGATTAGGCATTTCATAAAAGAAGTAGGTAGCAATTCATTTGCATTGGTAGTTTTAATCTTCCTATTGATAGTTAGGAATGCAACTGATCAGTCTCACCTGGCATATGTGCACCTTATGCTCATTGCCTCGATATAGCTATTAGGTCACAAACATTGTATGTAGAGATGGATAGTGACTAGTAGTGGAGTCCAGGACGAGCATATCATCCTGTTTGGGACTCGTCAGCTAGATGTGTCTACACCCGAGAGTTATTGTCTATTCGAAGACTCGAATCCAGTACCGACCGCTTCAAACGCCATTGCGTTATCCATTTAGCTACTGAGTCCAGACAACCACTGGCTTTTGCAACAAGATAAACTAACAGATTAGAATAAGTGACTGCAATCGTTGTTGTCAACATAATAAGAAGATGGATTAAATGGAGCAATTATTAATAGCTATGAGACAGAAAATTATCTCATATCTCTTCTCTTCTTCTTCAGCTATATGGCGAACGCTGATCAGCGGCCTATGATCCTTCGGGGGTAACGATCGAAAGTAAGTTAAGTCAGCTATATGGAACAAGACCTTTTTAAGGATTCTTGTGCCATTCAAGTCAGTTATATGACCAGACTCTGTTGCGAACTTATTTTTTGGTCTCTTCAAGTCTTCGGAGTATTTAGGAATGTGCACCGAGCAAAGTTTGTGTTCCTTCATACCCACATCCAGTTACCTTGACCTGCGTATATAATATGACAGTCGCTAAATCTGGTCACATAATTTTTTACTCTCCCTTTGGTAATGAGTCTTCAACTCTTACTAATTTAGAGTATTGTTTATTTGGAAGAATACTTTTATATTGTGTTAGTTTAGGATCCTGATTTCTTTTGAATTATTACAACAACTGGAAGGATTTCTAAATTCGTATCCCCTTTCAGTTAACTTCAATCACTTAACATCAAGACAAATGACTGTAACAGCATGTCATCAAAATTGATGGTTTTACTAAATTTCTTGACCGATAGACTTACATAAAAAATCCGTAAAACATAAGTCACAATTTAGCCATAACTTTGTATTTACATAGTTTTGGTCCAAATTTATCAAAAATTTATACTAATGCTAAATTAAATTGCTAACCAAAAAGGTTTAAGATAGAGGATTTAGTATGTACATTGAAATCATGATGTTAAATATGGATAATTTTTGTGAGGATAGATATTTTCATAAATTATGAGATGTCATTATAACATTCAGCAGACAATTTTACTATACACTGCTTTCAATAATATGGGAATACTTGTTCTAAACTAATCATTTACTTGCTATTATCCTAGGATGGTGTATGAGCAGTTGTCAGAATAAGTAAACCAGTTACAGGAAGCAATATGTATTGTGAAGAAAGGAGTATTCAAGTTAGAATAAAAAAGTAGTTTCTTTATGATAAGAAACATGTTTTTGAAATAGGGAATGAATAACTTTGAAAAATTACTTCAAACTGAAAACTATCAGCCCTAATTCGATGGTCAAATTCATCTTTACCTCTAACCGTTCTTGATACAGAAGGCCTGGTAGCTAATCCAGAAATCAAGTAGTAATAAACAATTTTTGTTGACCTACTGTCTATTACATCTACATTTAAACAGGAGTGATAACGAATAACTGAAAACCGATGTCAGTCCATACAAATAGCAACCTATTAGACATAAAGTACGGAGAAGAAAAATGATACGAAGCTATATAATCAGATGGATATATTTTGTCAGGCTTGGAACAATTCGTCGAACATATAAAAATTGTATGTACGTTCAAAATGTCTTCTACTTTCGGACAATATAATTCTTAAATTTACGTATCTGTACACGACTAGTCACTTAAAGTATCGAATAAAGTCATTATGTAGTATACATTTACCCATAGAGGAATATTTATTTCACGGTTTAGAAATCCTGACCTTATATAATTTATCGAATTCGTAATGTTTGATACATGGCTAAATACTGTATATTTTGAAATTGAGAGTTTAAGTTATACCATTAAGATGATAATTAATCATATTGAATATTTTCATTGGAAAACCATTTCATTAAACAACCGGTCAAAAATTATTACAGTAAATAGGCGTTTTTGGTTGCTTAATAAATAGGTGTTGGAGCTAGGTTGAAAGTGAGTTTCATGAACGTTAACAGCGTTATGCTAAATGATAGAATTGACCGTGAATGAGTAGTAGTGATCGTTGACTTAAAATTATATGCTACCGCTTAGATGACTATTAAAATCAATTTTGTGACCAGATATACATATTTTTAAGAACTGAACACAGAACTCTTGTTCCGTCTCATTCAGTCAACCTAAAGTGAATTTGGTAAACAGGAAATATTTTTTTCGCTAACTTATATCAAATTCACAATTATTAAAAGGCAATTCTCGCCGCGAGACTATAATTCATGAACGAATCAATAATATTTGAGAAAGGAAGTCTTGGAGTTTGGCGCGAAACTTATCCATCCATATGGTTAAATAACATGATGGCATTATAGCTGATGTCCGTTCGTGAGGAAAACACCCAAATCTATATTCTTACGCTTACATACAGCTTTAAGACATTTCCCTAATTCCTCACATAATTTATAACTCTTTTTTAACACTAATGAGTGGGTGAATATTCTCAAGGTCATATTGGTATCGCTCAAAGGTCGTTCACGATGTATAGTTTGATCGATTTTTCTACATAAAGTACAACGTATCGAGAATAAGGACAGGAAAGATTGATAATCACACTGATAAACCAACATACTGAGCGATTACGTGTGTGATCTGATTTAGTTATCTTGTCAAAAGCAACGGAATCAATTATTTTATCTGTAACTGAGTATCTGTTCACCTGTGATTGGTGAACAGCAAGTATGAATTCAGGAGAAAAAGAACGATGTTGATGTTACAAATCATTCTTTCAAAAATATTTAAAATAAGGGGAATACTGAGATGATTAATCAAACATGATTAACGTTCTTTCAGTAAACATTCTTAATAAACTGACACTGGAAATCTACTTTTTGTGTTATCAATAATAAGTGCTTTTGTCCTATATCCTGTGTAAATTCGTAGCATAGTTTAAATTAGCAAAGTTTTATTTATGTAGAAGTCTTATAGATTTTTGCACAATTACATTGGATAAAGTGTTTCTTTGCTTCAGTCTATTTCTGATGAATACTTAGAAAAGTATACTGTCATTAGTTTATTTGATTCTATTCATGTTTATACGTTACTAGAAATAACCAGATAAAACACGTTCAATTTTAGAGATGCTCTTTGTAACCTACTTATGAAATCAATTTTATCCAGTTTTATCAATTTACAGAGGACAAATTCATTGGAAATTTAAAGTATAATATACATTAAAACAACACATATAAGCGAACAACATTGTTTTCGATTAGATCGTCATCAGGCTTTACTCTAATATACATGATATTTATATGAAAATGTTCAACCAATCAAGGCAATTTGAGTGATAATCACAATGAAATGAAAAAGGCAAAAGTACAAGTAGATAGTAGGAAGATAGGTGAACAGATAGTAGTAGGAAAATTTATAAAATATGATAACTAAAGTAGGTCAAAGGTGGATGAATAGAATTCAAATAATCATCAAAAAACATCAAAAACATTACGTAATAAGCAAATATGTAAAAATAAAAATAAAATAAGATAATGTCAATCGTTAGTTACGTCATATCCGGCCACGGTCACGAATTTCTTCTGAACACATAAATTAGGGTTGAATGTACGTATTCCTATGGCTTCTGCAATGTGTAGGAGACGGGATCGAACTCCGTTGGGAAATGATGGAGGTATACGATAGATCACCCGAAAAGATCTAGATTTATCTATAATGTGACCACTATCTACCAGGTGTGCTAAGATAGAACTGCGTATTGTTTTTGACTGACCCTTCGTAAACCATGCTGGGAGATGTTCACTCATGTATATTAGAGTAAAGCTTGATGACGATCTAATCGAAAACAATATTGTTCGCTTATATGTGTTGTTCTAATATTCACAATGGGAATCTTTAATATAAATTGAGACAGATATTTGACTATTATCTGATCAGTGAGTAGTGACCAATGTTGTTTTCATCTAGTTCTTAGTACTAGTTGAATTCTGTTGATCAAGTAAGAATTTAGCCATTAGTTGAAGTTGCTCAACATAGTATGGAATCTGAACCTACTTAACTCAGCTTTACAGTCTGAGATGTTATCATTAAGCTGTTCGGGAAGCCAGAATAGTTCATATATAAGGAACTGTTTATTTGATCACCTGTTTTATTGATATAATTTAGTTGTCATTAACTGAGTAAACATACAGATTCAGTTACTTGTGTAGTTTGTATAAGTTTCATCATTGACAATTAAGTTATTTTCCATAAAACTTTTATTCTTGAGTAATACAAACCACATCATCTTTTCAGGATGGTGTATCACAATAGTTTGTTGATCAGATCAGTAATTCAGATTTCTCAAGAAACTGAACTTCTGATCTGAGTATGTACTACTTGTGCTTACAATTATAAAACTACATTTGTGCTTTAGAGATGACAAACTTTCTCACAAGAAAGACTCTGTCTTGAGAATTAGCCATTAATAAACGCACAATATTGTTTATATTCTACCCAGGATGTCACTTTCCTAAACTAAACATTCATCCATTAGGATAGAATGTAACTTTAATTTAAAATGTAAAATAATTTAGTTTTTAATATTCATCAAAAAAATAATTTAAGTGAACAAAGAATAGATTACTATAAAAATAATAATAATAATAAATTATCCTCAATATTTTAATAATAAAAATGAACGTATTTTTTTTAATGAATTATCTGGGAGGTCTAAAATTAATTTGAGGTTTGGACATGCGATTTATTTGAGTAAAATGGTATGAATTCATTGTAATTCATCAACATCTTGTTATCGGCTAAAAAACTGTTAATATTCAAATACTTAAAAATTACAAATGAAATTCCTGAAGAAGTATTATTTAAATCTGAACAAAATTAAGATAACATGGTAATATTTTAAAACCAAAATATCAAATCAGAAGACACATGTTCCAGTTTATTGTAAATGTGATCTAATACTTTTAAGCTTTTTTCTCTAAATCTTGTAAAACGCTGAAACATGTATATTTAAAATTCCAATTTCTAACTGTGACATTTAGAACTTGCAGCAAATTTAGCACTCAATAATTTCGATAGCTTATAAAAATTAGTTAATGTATGTGATGTGATTAATCTTTCTGTTCAAAAGAGCAACAACAATTTGTTTCATGAAATAATGAAAAAAAATAATCACAGGTGAGCAATTTGAATGCGTTTCATTACTATCATCATCCAAGGAAATATGAAATCTCATAGCAGCGAGTCATTTAAACTATACGTATTGATAGCTCTATAGCTCAATAAATTAATCATAAAACTCTCAGTCCAGACCACAGTTATATGATTTCTTTGTAAATGCATTCTTATCTAGCCGAGAATCGAACAGGAAAAAGAATCATTACTATCATCATAATTAGTAAGAATATTGGATAAAATGAAAGAAAAAAACAATGTGTAGATTTATAAATACACCTCCTGCAACATATTCTACAATGACGAAAACAGATAAACTTACCTTGAGGTGTTGTCTGTAGTCTCCCTAGGACGCCATTAACAGTGTTATACAGTAGGAAAATCCACACAAAACAAATTAAATATATTTGAAATTGATTGTTCTTAGTCCAATGATACAAATACATATTATTCAGCAATAATGATACTTTAAACTTAGTCTTTTTATGGGGCTCTAATCAAAGAGCACCCAGTATGTTTTTTGTGCTTTTATTATTGTCTTTGATAATACATAAAGTTTGATAATATACTAGTTATTAGTGCCGAATCCTTTTTAGTAAGTAAAATGCCTAGAAATAAATATATGTATTCAATAACAATATGCGCCTACAAATGCAAACATAGCCCAACTCTCAGTTTATTCAATTTGTTTGGATGTTTATACATATTATACAAGTTCACGTAGGTTGTGTATGTACATATGTTACTGGAAAAGAGTCCATATGTTTATATACATATATATTTGTCAGTTAGCAAATACTTGAACTAATGCATTTACTTCAGTCTACAAAAATTATAATTCACTTTTTTTTATGTTGTTTTTATATGATTCTTCTTCAATGTATCTCATTCGATAGTTCCAACCTGCCTTTCTTACAACAATGTTTAGTGTAGCACACATTTGTTGCCTATAAAAATATTTAGTATGTACACACGAATTGGGACTAGAATGCTAAACATCTTTTATTTTGTTGTATTCAGCACAATGTATCCAGGTATCACGAAATAAGTAAAAAAGATACAATGAGTGGGATGGGGGATTAGTTCCAGCATTTAGCCTAGATAATGGCTAATATTAAACCAGTAAATAAAGCACGCATCGAAACACACAACACAATTGTATGGCTGTTTATAGTTATCGTTAATAAAGTATGTCTTTATTTCGAAAATTGAAAAATCTGTCCAAAATACAGAACAATCAACAACGCCAATCCATTCCTTTTTTCATCTTGTCGATTAACCTTAGAACTCAGTGTAAATAACATTCGATTCAATAGTGGAAAAGACAGGAATCTTCTTTAAGCTTTACAAAACTACTAATACTGATTTGCCCGTTTTTTCATAAGGTAAAGGAAGAAACTTAAAATTTTCAGGTTCCAAAACAATGTTTTTTTTAAATGTCAGCGAAAAATATTGATTCATATATTTCCAAATGTTAATATATCTTCTTATTGTCCGAGACGAATGACATGGTTATCTGTGCGTAGGTGTGCAGTAAACTAAAATACAATCATATTATTTTATTTGTCAAACAACCAGTCTCGATAAGTATAAATTTCGTAATAAGAGATTAATTTATTTATCAGGAAGCTGAAATGTTAAAATAGTGCCCTTTTAGTTTAAAAGACATACACCAAAGGTATATATAATTAAGGAAGAGATTATTGAATATATATTTCCAATTTAGTCCGTACATTAGCAACATTGAATTCATAGTAACTTGTTTATATGACTCAGCACCTTTAAATTCAATAAAGGTTAACTTATTGGTTTAACAGATGAAGTTTTGAAGCAAATGTCACAATATAAGCGAAACAGATATAAAAATGACAATTTTATTAGATCGATAATTAAGATTATTCTATCATCATTGTATTTCCTAAATGTATCTGCGCAATACTGCACGAAAATCAGATTAAGAAGACTAATGTAAAAACTTGGACTTACCGATAAATATTTACATAGAAAAACAAATTATTATTGATCACTAAAGCAAAGGTTTAGACCAGTGGTCTCAGAAACATTCATTTATTACGCCTATTTCTACTGACCGAAGTAGTCACCGAAGAAAAAATAATAACTGTTTTTTCATTATCTGCATGAACTAATTGTGATAGGAAATTTGAAACTGTTATTTTAAGTTTAATAAGTTCGAATTTTCTGTAAAACAATCTTTATCTATCATCTCATTATCAAGCATATGTATAAAATAATACGTGAAAATGAAGGTTTCATGAAATCTTCAAATACTGAATTACTATAATTTGGAGAAGGGCTGCATTTCTACAGTTGAAAAATATCTGGAACTCCAAACAACTTTCAAACAAAACCAAAATCAGGATTTTCAATACAAATGTCAAGACAGTTCTACTGTATGGAGCGGAAACTTGGAGAACTACAAAAGCCATCATCCAGAAGATACAAGTGTTTATTAACAGTTGTCTACGCAAAATACTTCGGATTCGTTGGCCAGACACCATCAGCAATAACGAACTGTGGGAGAGAACAAGTCAGATTCCAGTGGAGGAGGAAATCAGGAAGAAGCGGTGGAAGTGGATAGGACACACATTGCGGAAAGCACCTAACTGCGTCACGAGACAAGCCCTCACATGGAACCCTCAAGGCAAAAGGAAAAGAGGAAGGCCAAGGAACACACTACGCCGAGAAATAGAGAAAGATATGAGAGGAATGAACAAACATTGGACAGAACTGAAGAGGGAAGCCCAGGACAGAGTTGGTTGGAGAAAACTGGTGAGCGGCCTATGCTCCATTGGGGGTAACAGGCGTAAGTAAGTAAGTAAGTAATAATTTGGAGAAGTGAATTAATATTACAAAGATGAGCATTTGGCTGTATCTGTATGAAACATCTCACAGACACTAAAATCTATGATAATATTAGGAAACCTGTTACAGAAGGGATGTTAACCTGTTTTAAACACGGCCAATGGATGCATCCAATAGGATATTCGATCATCTGATACAACCTTATCGTACAATATCAAAATCATAATACCACTTCTAAAGGTTCTAGCCAGAAACTTATTAATAATGTTTATAAAATATGGCTTATTGGTAGAGTTTTGTTTTCGAAGTGTCGCTGATTAAGATACTATTGGATATGGATACCTAACCTGTCAAGTGGAGAAGAAACTTGGTACTACTAGAGAAATTTCCAAAATTACTTAACGATAAAAATTGCTTGGTATTATTTGACCAATAGATAAACACCATTTGCGTTTAGATTAAAGTGCAAATAAGGACGCCAAATAAAGTGGCTAAACTGTTTCTTTTGTTGCAGCGTTTATTCTTATGAGTAATTTGTATGTATCTTTACCAAGAGTGTTTGATTCATTCACTAAACAATCCCAACAAGTTTTGAAAATATGTAGTAATCCAAACACTACTAACAAACGGTCGACACGTTCGACTACTTCACTCCTCATCACTAGTTCAGGTGCCGATGCATTTAGAGGGGGAAAACCGCATCCCGAACATGCTTGTATTGTTGCTTAGGGTGGTCAGAAGACTCTGCATTTTGTCAATGTCTTCAGCGAATAGAACTATGTAATCGGCATATTCTAAGTCAGCTAGCGAGCCTCCTAGTAGAAGGTCCACTCCCGAAAAAACTGACGAGGATAATGTTAACTCCAAAAGCACGTCTACGAAAAAGTTAAACAAGAATGGAGAGAGTGGACAGCCCTGACGGACACCACTTGAAACAACGAATTCCGATGACAGTTCGCCATTAGCTCTCGCCCGACCTGTAGTTTTAGAGTAGAGAGCTTGTATGAGGTTAATGTACTTCTTTGGTACACCTTTCAATGATAGACACTGCAACAGAACCTCACAATCAACAGAGTCGTATGCCGCCTCAAGGTCCAGGAAGACAACTATTGTAGGACGCCTAAATGTGTGTCTGTGTTCCAGGACCTGTCCTAGTGTGAAGATGTGGTCTATACAGCCACGTCCAGGTCGAAAACCAGACTGGTTTTCTTTAGTCTGCTCTTCACGAGCTGTAGTTAGGCGTCTAAGAATAATCGTAACAATTTAGAAACTATATTAGTTAGACTGATTCCCCTGTGATTGTCACAAGAGGACTTTTGTCCTTTCTTGTTGACTGGGACTATCAGTGATTGAGACCAGTCAGATGGTATTACTTTCAGTTCCCAGATCCTACCTAAGATCTCAGTCAATCTAGCTGCTAAAACTGGACCAACATCCTTAAAAATCTCAGGGTGCAATTTATCAGGACCTGCAGGTCCCTCTCGCTTCAGATTCCTTATCGCTTTCTCATCTTCATAAAGATTCGGAGGACTGGTGTCGGTTTCCCATTTAGGATGACTGGAGATCGTGTGGCTGAAGGCCAGTTGAACTGGTCCCTAAAGTGTTATGCCCATCGATCCGATCTCCTGCATTGAGAATGTATCATAGAACCATCCTTTTCTGCGATAGTTTCGCTAACAGATGGATTCTTAATACCGGTTTACTTTATAAGGCGGAAAAACTGTCTATTGTTGCCTGTCGCCGCTGCCTTTTCCATCGATTTCGCCACCCACCACTGTTCGTGGTCATTGCGTAGGCTTTTTATCAGCTTGAGCTTAAGTTGACTTCACTCTTCATCATGTTCAGAGCCAGGTGGGATGCATTTTCGAGCATCCGTCAGTTCGGTAGATGCTATTGCGATCCAAGGCTTCTTGCTAGCCTTATGGTTTACCTTACTAGCAGATATCCTTGCTGTTTTCACAGCTTTTTTGATGTCATTCCAAGCTGCCTCCGGATGGCGATCGCGAACATGGTCGCCTAACTGTTTTTATAGATGTTCTGAAATATATTCAGATCTCCACTATCATTATTTAGAACCCTAAGAAGTTTCTTTGCTGTGTCTTCCCTTCGTCCAATAAGCCGCAAGCGAATTCGCGCCTGTACTAGAAAGTGGTCTGAATCTAAACAAGTGCCCCAGAATAAGCAGCAGTCTCAAATAGAGCCTATCCACCGATGGCTGATACCGATTTGATCTAGTTGGGTCCATCGTTGGGTCGCCACGTCAAGATGTTTTTCCTTATGCTCAAAGCTAGTGTTTGCTAGAAATAGGCGGTTATCTGAGCATAGCGTTAGCAGACGGTCACCATTATCGGATCTTTAAACTACGACACTATAAATTCCACCCAGGTGTCTTCCCTTTACACCTAGTCTATCTATTTGAGCACTGAAGTTACCAGCCATTATTATATCGGGGCGCCTAACATTTTGAAGGTTAGAGAGGTTCCTGTAAAATTCATCTTTAATTTAGTCTGAACTGCAGTTAGTGGGAGCGTAGGCAGATACGACGAAGAGGCAACGGCGAGTGTCCCTATCTTTCCGAGTCCTTACAATCCCGTTTAGTCGGACAGTGCACAAGCGACTTTCTACTGGGATCCAGTCTAGGAGAGATAGTTCTGCCCTACAACTCAACGCTATACCTACACCAGCGAGTTACTTCTTAATCTTGAAATGGTGAGGTCAAGCGAATGACACTACTCGGATCCTGTATGCGCGTTTCCGAGACGCAGCATACATCGATGGCACGAGATTCTAAAGTCCTAGCTAAGGAAGCCTGTTGCCCTATTTGAAACAATGTCCGTACATTAAAAGCTCCAGTATGTAGTCTAGAACGGGCTTTCAGGAGAGGTGCGGGGTGATAAAGGAATGTGAAAAGAATTAGTTGTGGAGATAAGGAGATATTAGGGGTTGTAGGGAGGATTTGAT